ATAAAATTGTAATAATAAATAAATAAATAAAATATTGTTATAAATTAATAAATTAATAAAATAATAAATAATAAATATTAATTAATAAAATAAATGAATAAAAATAAATAATAAATCTTTTAAGTTTTAAGATTCAAGTGATAAAGTGTTAATAACAACTTGAGGTTTCCAATGTTGTCATTCATGATATCGAGCAAGTCTGTCACTGTTATAGTATTTTTGTAAGACTTGTTCTTTATCATTAATAAGTTGATAAGCGCTATTGCCAAGTTTAGAATAGATAATAAAAGGTCCAATTCTTTTATTTTTAAATTTTACAGAACGTGATGCTTCTATATCTTTTTATTAGATCCAAACTTTGTTTTCAACTTCAAATTCTTCCAGCCTTAGTCGCTTGTCATGTCTTTCTTTCTGTTTCTTTTGAGAATTTTTTGTATTCTTCTTGGCTTGCTCTTGAGCGTCTGTTAACTTATCTATAAGATCAAAAGCTCGAGATAATATACTGTCTTCTAAGTTTATTTTTGTTTCTGTTTCGGTAGTAGAAAGAATTAATTCTACTAGCAAAACAGCTTGTCTTCTATATACTAGCTAGAATGGAGTATATTCTGTAGTGGCATGCTTTTTAGTTTAATAAGCAAATAATACTGCATGCAAATTAAGATCCTAGTCTTCACTTGTTCTTACTTTTGCTAGTGATTCACACAAAGTTCTATTTAATCTTTCTACCATACTATTAGTTTGAGGATGATATAGTGATGAAAACTTATGCTGAATAAGAAAGTTTTCATATAAAACTTTGATTACTTTGTTTTTAAAATTTTTCGCTTGGTCAGAAAGAATAGTCCTAGAGATTCCATGTCTATACACTATCTCTTCAAAGATAAAGTTAGCAAGAGTTAAGGCTTTTACATATAGTATAGCTCAGGCTTCTAGCCAATGTGTCAAGTAATCTGTTGCAATAATAATATACCGATTGTTGCGAGTGGTTATAGATAGGAGTCCTACTAGATCAATTTCAATTCTCTCAAAAGCTTGTCCTATTTTGATAGGATGTAGTGGTTCTTTTCTTCTGGATTTGCCTCTTCTCTAGCATATTTCACAGGTTTTATATATTCATTAATGTCTCAATATATCTGATCCCAATAATATCGTTCTGCAATTTTATAGTACATAGCATCTATTCCCAAATATCTAGCAGTAGGATGACTATGCATCATGTATGAGATAAGATCTACTTCAGTCTATCTAAATGGATTGTCTGAGTCTCATTTGTTTTCTTATACAAATATCTATTTTTAATCATAAAATATTTAGCCTGATTTTAAAGTTGTTTCCACTAATAAGTAGTAAAGTCAGAAGATAAGATATTAGAATTTAAATAATTAAATAGATTTTGATATTGATCTAGATTTATTATTAAAATTCTGGTAGTCAGAGTCTTGAGAGGGCATCCACATTGGAGTGAATTCTACCTGGTTTGTGTATGATAGTAAAGTTGTAGAGTTGTAATTTCAAAATCTATCGTCTAATTTGTCTTTTTGGTTCTACAGTTTTAAGCTATTTTAGTGCAAGGTGGTCAATTACAAGAGTAAATTCAGTAGCTCCTAGATAGCTATGAAAATGTTTGATAGCCTATACAATAGCAGCACATTCTAGTTCTATTGCAAAGTAATTTTGTTCTGCTGCTATTAGGCTTTTGCTAGCATAAACAATAGGGTGTTCCTTTCCATCTCTATCCTTTTGACTTAAAGTGGCTCCAAAACTATGATAAGAAGCATCAGTAGCAAGAATAAATTTTTTCTAAAGTCGGAGTAGGCTAGAATAGGTGCAGTAGTCAACTTTTCTTTGAGGATATCAAATGCTTCTTGTTGTTTGTTTTCCCAATGATAGGGTTTATCTTTATAAAGAAGTTGGTTCAAAGGTCAGGCTATAGCAGAGAAGTTTGGATAAATTGTCGATAATATCTAACTAAATCAAGAAAGATTGTAACTTGGTAGTATTCTTTGGAGGTTGGATCTTCTGAACAGTTTCAATTTTTGAGGGGTCAGGGGCTATTCTTTTAGAGCTAATAATATACCAAAGAAAGGGTAAAGATTTCATTCAAAAGTTGCATTTTTCAAGATTAAGTTTTAATCCTGCATCTCTTATTCATTAAAATACAATCTTTAAATGTTTCAAGTAGTCCTCAAATATCCGAGAATATACATTGGTATCATCAAGATACACAACTACAAACTTCCAAGCAATTCCTTTGTAAACTTGATCCATAAGTCGTTGAAAAGTAGCAGGGGTATTGCACAATTCAAATGGCATTATATTAAACTCATAGGTGCTATATTTTATAATAAAAGCAGTTTTCTCTTTATCTTTAGAGTCTATCATGACTTGCCAGTATCTACTAGCTAAGTCTAAAGTTAAAAATCATTGTGATCCTGAAAGAGCATTCAACATTTCTTGAATTTGAGGTAGTGGGTAGGCATCTTTCTTAGTAATACTGTTAAGTTTTCTGTAATCAAATCAGAATCTTAACTTTCCATTTTTCTTCTGCACAAGAACAACAGATGATGCCCAAGAGCTTTCTGAGAGTCAGATAATATTGCTGTCTAATATTCATTCAATTTCTTGTTTGATAAATTCTTGTTCATCTGAGGGGACATTATAAGGCCGTAGTTTGATAGGTGGTATATCTTCTATATAAATTTTATATTTAACTTTATCTGTTCTGCCAAGTTCTGTAATATCCTTAGCAAACAGGTCAGCAAATTCTTCTAGCAAGGTTTTGAATACTTGTCCTTGTTCTTTTGTAAGTGGTTCTACATTTACAGTATCTGTCTTTTCTAATATATATTCCTCATAAAGAATTAAAGTGTCTATAGTATATACAAAATTGTGTTTAAGAGCATTAGCTTGCAAAGCCTGTTGCAAAGCTTTTTCTTCTGTTGGCAATTCTTCTACATCTTCAGGTAGTTTTTCATCTTGTCTAGGATAGCTCAAAAATTTTGCTGTGTGAAGGCCATATGGGCATAGTAGTCAGCTCATTCTTGATGATGTTGAATTTGTTAGAAAAATTCTATCATCTTTTCAAAATTTTCTTTCAAGTATTGGACTCTGGCTTCTAATCAAGCAATAACTTGGTCTTTTTCTTTATTCTTCATCTCCTCAAAAATAGTGTCCTTACTTATTTCAAGTTTTTCTACCATAACAGTATCATCATGGTATACTTCTTATATAGGCTATTCTGTAGTAATAATATCATCTTGGTGTATCTCTTCTGTAATTGTTTTTTTGATAGAGGGATTTGTTTTTTTCTTGATAGCATTTATTACAAAGACCTTGGTTAGCTTCTAATTCAATACTTTGTTTAGCGAAGAGGCACTCTTGGCAAAGAGCTACTTTTCCTTCAAAATTCTTCCTTAAATTCTTAATAGCTTTGTGGGTATCAAAGTCAGGTTGAGAAGTATTAAAAAATTCATTTAAAACTCGTTGTAGGGTAGCCTTTTCATCTTTTGTAAGCAATACTTACTCTGCTCAAAATAGAATAGTAATCTCTTCAGGTGTCTATTTTTGATTATATCTATCATCTTCTTGTTCTTCCATAGCTTCTTCTATACTTCTATATTCTTCATCAAGTAAGACTTTAACTAGACGATAGATTCGGTCCTGGTTCAAATTATACTGATATCCAGCATTCCTGGTAGACTTAGTATAATACCTAATTTTGTTCCAAATCTTGTAGTTTGGATTATATTGGAGGTCTGTAAAAATTTTATAAGTATACATGTGTTCCAATTCACAGAACCACAATTCTTCTCATATGCTTTTTATATTATATATTCTTGATCTGGATTTCTGAATATTACAAAGTTTGTATTAGACAAGGGTTCCTCTACCAAGTCCTGTATTGTAATATTTCTGGCTTCTGGGGTCTTCTGGATCAAGAACTTCATAGTAGGTCTTGTAACAAGCAGTACAAACAAGTTTTGCTTCTAATTTGTATAATTTATTAGGTTGCTGAGGGGTACAACAATTATAACAATAATAGGTTCTCCTTCTACTATGGTAGATCATTTTTCTTTCTTCTATTTGGTCTTTGTTATAACCATATTTGTAAGTTAAATTGTCAAGTTTGAGTTGGACAAGAGGGCAGTTAATTTCAATATAGCCAAATTCATTACAGCCATAATATTGGTTATCTGGACAATCCTTAAACAAGTAAGCAGCTTGTCCACAAGTTCTATAGTTATTTGACTTTTTACGTTTGTTGGAGCAGTTGATAAGTACGTGTCCAAATTTGTTGCAATAATAATATTGATTTCTGAGGCAATCTTTGTACTGGTAGCTAGCTTGACCACAGGTTTTGCAAAGTGGTTTTCTTCGTTGAGGTTGGTAGGTAGTCCATCCTTGGTCTTCATCTTCT